CCTCTGGACTTGTTCTAGCTGCTGCAGGTCTTTCTTGGAGTCCAGCTCTGGCAGGTGCTGTGGGAGAGCAGGAGCCAGCCACCCTGCTGACAGAGGCCACCCAACACCACCTTCATCCTCTCTCCTCCGCTGCAGGGTGACAGCGGTGGTCCCCTCTCCTGCAAAGACAACCACGCCGACTACTTCTGGCTGGTTGGCGTGACCAGCTGGGGGAAAGGCTGTGCGAGAGTGAGACGGCCAGGAATCTACACCTCCATTCCGCACTTTTACGACTGGATATTGGAACACATGGGACTGGTCCCAGCGGTAACGGCTGCTCCCACATCACAGGCACGGAGTAATTTCCTCACCACCTTTCAGAGGCCAAGGCCGATGCCAACACAACCAGGCAGGTTTAACTCCTGCCTATTTCCACTCCAGAAGCTGATGGAATTCTTCACTCAGGCGCAGGAGCTGCTGCCCATCTTCAGAAGAAAGAAGGCTTGAGCAGCGGGAGGAGGAGGATCCAGCGCGGGCTGCGGTCCCCCACCACCACCCTTCCCTGTGGGGCAACGCCGGCGGCTCCAGAGGCAGCCTCAGTGCCAAGGGTCTGCTCCGTCCTGCCCACGCTCCTCCCGGTGCCCCCACTGCTGCGGTCACTTCATCCTTCAAATAGAGTTCACTGAGTTCTTGAAATAAAGCTGCCACTTTTCACAACTCGCCGTGCTTGGGTCCCACTCAGTCTCCTGTGCAAGGCAAGGACTTCTGTGCCCAGCACCTGCACAACGGGGCCAGGCAGGGAATGAGGGGACAAAGAGACACTGCAAAGGGCTGAAACTGCCTGGTCAGAGAGGAGGGGGAGAAGGGAACACAGGTCCCCGGGGGCTGGAGGCCTTGGGGACAGCAGTTGGAAACACGAGGTGTCTTAGGCTGGCTGCTGGTGAGCTCCCTGTATGTGTGTGTGTTTGTACAATGCACCAGTGAGCTTCAAACTGGACTCTCGTGACACCAGTGGCTGGGTAAGGAGCTCAACAACCAGCCAGAGAGATTCCACGGACTGAATTTCCATCCTGTTAGTTGAGGAATTTATGAACATGTGCATATGAACCTGGGGAGTGAAGGTGTTTATGTTTCACTAGAGAAGATCCGATCCTGATCATCTGGAAGGGCAGCAAAGGACTGGGCTGTGCACACTGGTGTTAGTGGTGGCTCTGCAGCGTGGGTGCTGGGAAGGGCCTTGCTCTGCCTCATGTCAATCTGCTTTGCTGGTCACTTTAATTGTGCAGGTCCCTGTGTGTGTTTGTGTACCCGGCTCTTGGAAACGCCGCGTAAAGCTCCTGAGCACACGCATGGGAACAGCAGCAGCCACATCCATCAGGCTGGGGCAGGACAAGCCTCCTGGGTGGGAGAGTCCACCTGATTCAGCTGGACTGGACTGGAAAGGAGCAATCCCCCGTGTTCAGTACCGGGTCTGGCTGCGCCGTAACAGAACGGGGAAGGAAACCCAAAGAACCTGTGCCGCAGAGATCAGGGGTGGCCAGCGAGGCAGCACTGGCCAGGCTGTGACAGCCGTGGGGAGGGCTGGCAATTGGACCTTCACTGCATCCTAACTGGACAGCCCTGTAACAAACAAGCAGGAAGGATGCGAAAGCTCAAAGCTTTATTAAAAAAAATTCTTTACTGTTTTGTTTTCTCCAGTAGGTGCCATTAAAGCATCTGGGCAGGACCCTTCCCTGCAGGCCCAAGGGTGGCTGAGCTCTCCTGGCAGGCAGGCTTTGCCTTGAAGAAGCATTGGGGCAACTACGAACCACGTGGGAGCTCTCGCCCTTTCCTTCACAGTGATGTGCAGTGGCTACGGCTGACTCCAGGAACACCCCAGCCAGTCTCCCAGAGGAGGGGAGAGGCCCAGCTGCCCATCCCCAGAGCTCTCGGGGCACGACAAAAACCGCTTTTCTCTGAGCAGGGCAGTTCTAACCAGCCCCAGAAATCTAGAGCAAAGGGAAAGAACAGACTCGGGATCCGGGGCTCAGGCTGATGGGGGCTTCTCTTCAGGGCAGCTCTCCTCTTTATCTGACAAAGTCTCACTCTTCTTCTGCAGGTCAAAGCTCTGGAAAGGAGCAGGACAAGGAACTGCTGAGAAGCATGAGAGCAACAGCTACATTCTGCTGTGGTTCTTTCAAATTCAGTCCAGGGTAGTGTGGGCTCTTCAGAGGGTCACCACCTCACCCCTTCCAACCCAGACACCAGCAGCACACAGACCCCACGCTGTCACCAGCACAGGGCAAACCCTTCCATGCTGACAAAGTCTCACCCTTTGCCACAGGCTCTGCTTTCCCTGAGGGGAAAAAAGAGCAGAGCTGCTAATCACTGAGGACTGCAGTACTAGAGCCTCTCTTACCTCCAGTTCTCGCATGACCTCATCCATGAAATCTCCTGAATTCTCTTTGTAAGCCACTGCCAGTTTGATAGCATCATTGAAGAGCTGGTGAGAAGGAGAATGACGCTTGTCACTCAAGGTAAGGGGCACTGGCTTCCTGTAACATATGGAAACTGTTCCCACACCCCCAGGAAAAAAAAACCCAAACCAAAGCAAACCAGAAACCCCTCTGCAACTGCCTACAGCTGCCAGGACCTCACAGGCAGCCACACGAGCCCGTTTTCTGCTCTCTGTGCCTACAGCCGTCTCCAGGAGCGTGGACTGTGCAGGGCTCTCAGGGATGCTGAGCCAAAGAGCTGTGTTTTACCTTCACTACGTTGGTGCCATCTGCAGCAGACACAAAGTAAAAGGGCAAACTGAACTTCCGGGCAAAGTTGAAGCTTTTCTGGGTCACCTTCATATCCGCTGGGGACAAACAGAGGAGAAGCGGTCAGTAAGACATCACTGCAGGCAGATGCCAGCACAGGCAGGAGTGGTGGGAGAGCTGGAGACCAGAGCCTGCTCCAGCTGCCCAGGCCTCCTCACTGCAGTACCAGGCTGGGAGAGTCCTCCCCAAAAGCTACAGGGCTTCAAAAGCAACAGCATCAGCAAACTCAACAAGGAAAGCGTTCTTGGTTCATCCATGGTGCTCCACTACATTAGAGACGGATTCTGATGTGCCATAAATAAATAAACAATGCTTTGGGTTCAGAACACGTTCATGAGCTCACTGTGCAGCATCTGAGCATGTTCTCCAGTCACATCCCCACGGTTTTTGCTGCGTGTCCAGGTGACTGGGACACCGCTGCCAGTACTCATCATGCCTCCCCCTCCAGTTTGGCCTTTTTAACCAGAACTCCCGCTGCCCTGACGCCGTGTTACGTTCCCAGGAGCCAAGGCCACGCCTGACTCTACAGATGACTCAACTGTGCTATATTTTTACTGAACAGGCCCAGCTACCCCGACCTCCGCAGGCCAGAGGCTTTGCTTGGGAACAAACCTGCTGCGTATTTACAGGACGTGCTGACACAGCCAGGTCAGAAGAGAATCACACCACAATCCCGAGAGGCTGGAAGAAGAAGATACACTCACCATCAATTTTGTTGGCCACCACAATACACGGAATCTCTGGGCGGAATTCTCGCAGCTCCTTGTACCAGCTGTTTAAGTTCTTGTAGGTGACTTTCCGCTGCACATCAAACACCTTCCAAAAAAGAACCAGTTATCATGGGGCCACCAGCAGGACAGCTCCTGATCAACCCACTGCACCCACCACCAGTCCGTCAACACAGGAAACTGCCCTTTGTTAGAGAGGATGAAAGAGAAAAGGGAGACTCTCCAGCAAGCCCTGGAACATGCAGCCAGCCCCTTTCTCTGCACAATGCAAGAAACAGCCCCAATTTTCCTTTACTTTCTCATTTTGCACCCTGACAAGCGCTCTGTCGCTCATCGCAGTGAACAAGGACTGGGAGAAATCTGTTCTGCCAAGTGGGGTCTGATGTGAGGCTTCTCTGCTTCACAATTCAATTCAAATACCAGTGGAGTTGACTGATGCTCACAAGTGATGAGAAACAGTGGGAAGTTGGAGCAACAGGAGAAACCAGGAGACGCAAGCAGGTTAGGACTCAGGAAACAAGACTGATTGGAGCTAACAAACGGGAAAGGCAAAGGGCAGGAAAAGAGAAAGGGCAGAAGACCAGAAAAGACCGTGTCCTGTGTAGCAACCCTGCAGAACATGTTTGTACCACATCACAGCACAGAACAAGACCGGAATGTCCTCTCCCTCGTACCACCTCTGACAGGACTGCTTCTAAAGGCCTTGGACATGGTCCTCCACAACATCCTTCTCTCTAAATTGGAGGGATACGGATTTGATGGGTGGACTGTTCAGTGGATGAGGAATTGGTTGGATGGTCACATCCCGAGGGTGGTGGCCAATGACTCGATGTCCAGACCGAGATCGGTGACAAGCGGTGTCCCTCGGGGTCCATACTGGAACCAGTACTGTTCAATATCTTCATCAATGACAGAGACAGTGGGATCGAGGGCACCTTCAGCAGATTTGCTGATGACACCAAGCTGAGTGGTGGGGTTGACACGCCTGAGGGACCGGATGCCATCCAGAGGGACCTGGAGAAGCTGGAGAAGTGTTGAACCTCCTGAGGTTGAATCAGGCCAAATGCAAGGTCCTGCACCTAGGCTGGGGCAATCCCTGGTATCAATACAAGCTGGAGGATGAAGAGATGGAGAGCAGCCTGGTGGAGGTGGACTTGGGGCTACTGGGGCATGAAAAGCTGGACATGAGGCAGCACCGTGCGCTGGCAGCACAGAGGCCAATAACCGTGTCCTGGGCTGCACCCAGAGCAGCGTGGGCAGCAGGTGGAGGGAGGGTTTCCACCTTCCCGGAAACACAGTGACTAAAGCAAGGAAATTTTGAAGACAGCCAAGCTAGGGAATGTAGTAAGAGTGCTATCAGGAAAGAGAGAAGAGACCTAAACGTGCCCAAGACACTGGTTTTATCTGGTAAGAGAAGAAAGAACAATATAGGAAAGTTTTTTAAAGCACTGGAGGAGACAAGAAATATAAGGCAGCGTAATCATAAAAGGTGCCACACAGGCCATGTGTCCTCTGGGATGGTTATCAGTGAAAACTCCATCAGATCTCAGCTGAGACTCCACCCTTACCATGATACAAGCATGAGCCTTATGGTAGTAGGACGCATGCATGCTCTGGAACCTCTCCTGTCCAGCTGTGTCCCAGAAGTCTGTAAGACACAAAAAACAAGCTTAGAATTACACAATTTTCCAAGTCCTGTTCTCCTCATAACTTAAACCCAGGATGCAAAGCCCAGTCCATCTACTCAGGGTCACAAATTAGGTTTCACCTCAGTAATCTGAAACATTCCAGGGCTAAGAGATAATGCAAAACTAGGATCTCTCCTTAGCTAGGCTTAGCTACGAGTTGTGCTGATACTAAACGTCCTAGCAAAAGAGAAGTCATGGGTGGCCGTGACGTACCAAGGACAGTAAGACAAAGCTCGTCCAAAGCTCAGAGTGATAACGATGTGCGGCACCTTGTCACTAGAGATGACAACAGGAAACAAAACCTGCAATTCCTGAAACAGCTTCATTTCTGACACAGTGATACACAGCCAGGTGCCTGCCACAGGAAATGTCCCGTCTCCTGTCACAGTCTAACTCTGCTCCTTCCAGGGACACGACTCGTTCTGAAATCATCCAGGGAAAGTAAGTTACCCTGAGACAGACAGGTCCCAGTTCGCTAAGTTCCCTGTAGACTGGGAAGCAAACCTGAGCAATCATCAGCATTTTAATTCCTGTTTCTGATTGTCCATCTGTGGAGAATCAGGCTCCCTGGGGCTACAAACAGAGGCAACTTGGGCAAGAGTAGAAGTGGAGGGACGTGCTCGCCCTGCACTGACGAGCACCGGCCCTGAACGATGGCAAGAGCTGAGCAACCTGCCCACCCTGCAAAAGACACGATGGTTCGTGGTCTCACACTCACATCAATCAAGTGATGGAGTGGGGCAGAGGCCTCACAGCCAGTAAAGCTACTGCTTCAGTAAAGCTGGAAGGACCAGCACACCACCAACAAACAAAGGCTGAGAGAAACCCGGTGGTATTTTGTGATAAGATCATCGAGGCTGGACAGATCCAGAGAAAGAATGTAAATGTTCTATAAACCTGAAATCCAGCAATCGGTACATGCACCCAGAGTAATTAACCAGTCAAAAATACTCAATAAAAGGACGATAAAGAATAGGAAGATTGTGTTAAAATGTATTGAAACCCCAGCAACTAAAATAGTAGATCTCCTAAAGCCATCTGTGGCATGGAGTTTTAGAACTGGTGCTGACAGGCAGCTAAGTCCCACTGGAGACTATTTTGTAATTAGCACATGGCACATTTCTTCTCCCTTACTGACAGTAATTAATTTACTGATAAACTTATGGACTTACACTGACAGACTAAAGGAGCCTGGAGACAGTTTCATCCTATCAATCTGATATAACATCGAGCTCGCAGGCAAGAGCAAGCCCACTCCACTCTCCCTGTCTTTGCCCACGCATCTCCACCCGTCCCTCTGCCCAGCACTGGCGTGTCCCAGCCTCCCTGGTGAAACCTGTTAGGAAGCCAAATGAGCAGAAACTCACTCACTTATTTTGGGAGTGGTGGTTAATGTGCACGGTCAGCTTGACAATGGACAGGAGCAGGCCTGTCAGTGAACCCTGGTGGTACACAAGGGAGAAGGACTGCAGCTCTCATGGGCAGTGATAAATCTTAATTAGCTTAATTTCATCAGGACGCTGCATCCCAAGCAACAAGCACTGTGACTAACTGAGCAACAAGCTAAATCAGGATTCTTGCAGCGATTATTTTGACAGATATTCAGTTCCTTGAAAAAAAAACCCCAAAGATAATCTTTGATTGAGATATCCCCTTGCCTGGAAGTCAAATGTAGAAGATTGCTGGCATACCTGAAGAACCTGAGAACTGAGCAGTGACCTGGCCTGAGAGATGAGGAGAGTTCTGGCCCATCCTCTACCTACACTTCAGCAAGGCTTCAGCACTGCCTCCCACAAGAGCCTCACACAGAAGTTGTTCTGTGGGCTGGATGAGCAGACAGTGAGGTGGACTGAAACCTCTCTGAGTGTCCAGCCAAGAGGGCAGTGACCAGTGACTTGGAGTCTATTTGGAGGCCAGTAACTTAGCAGTGCTCCCCAGGGGTCAATACTGGGTCCAGTCCTGGTCAACATCTTCATTAATGATCTGGATGGGGCAGTTGCATCCTCAGCAAGTCTGCAGACCACACAAAACCAGGAGAAGTTGCTGATACACCAGAGGGTTGTGCTGCCATCCAGAGGGACCTGGACAGGCTGGAGAAATGGGCTGACAGAAACTCCATGAAGTTCAACAAGGAGAAATGCAAAGTCCTCCACCTGGGAATAACCCCACAGCAGCAGTTGATGCTGGGGACCACCTAGCTGGAAAGGGAAGGGCCCTGGGGTCCTGGCTGACACCAAGCTGACTGGGAGCCAGCAAGGTGTCCTTGCCACAAAGGAGGCTACGAGGATCCTGGGTGACATCAGGCACAGTGTTCCTTTGCCTCTGCTCAGCACTGGTGTGGCCACACCTGGAGTGCTGTGTCCAGTTCGGGAAGAACAGGAGAGACATGGACATACTGGAGAGAGTCTGATGAAGATCCGTGAAGATGATGAAGGAACTGGAGCAGCTCTCCTGTGAGGAAAGGCTGAGAGAGCTGGGATAGCCTATAGCCTAGAGCAGAGAAGGCTCAGGGGGATCTCAGCAATGAGTATAAATACCTGAAGGAAGAGCATAAAGAAGATGGAGCAAGGTTCTTCCCAGTGGTGCCTGGTGACAGGACCAGAGGCAGTGGCACAAACACAGGAGGTTCCCTCTGAACATCAGGAAACACTTTTCCACTGTGAGATTGACCGAGCGCTGGCACAGGCTGCCCAGAGAGGCTGTGAAACCTCCCCCCTCGGAAATACTGAACAGCCACCTGGACATGGTCCTGGGCAACTGGTGTTGGTGGTTCTGCTTGAACAGGGGGTTGTACAGGATGAGTCCAGAGGTCCCTGCCAGTCTCAACAGAATCCCAGCATGGTCTGGATTGGAAAAGCCCTTTGAGATC